AAGATTCTTTTTGATTGCGATAGCCATGAATAAATACCTAGAGCTTACTTCGTTTGACGTTTTAAACATGTTTTGATGATTATTGTGAAATTCACATATTTTGCACGACTTGCTGGTTAATAATTCCTCGACCTTTGAAATACGCATACATAACTTGTTTAAGATGCGTTCAGTGCAAATAAACGTTATTTACATCTGAATGTTTATCCCCGTTGTTCGTGTCTTATGATTCAAAACCTCTTAGTTTATTTGAAAATATTTGATCCCAGATTCTAACTCGCCATCTCCTTTATACCCTCGTTAAAGTGCCTTTCAGTGTCGGTGGATTTTGGTGTCTTTCAGATCTCTGTTTCCATTATGGCAGGCTATGTTACTTGATTACATTTATCCTTCAACCTATCTACCATATATACAAATCTACATTTCATAATTCTATCAGTTTGATCAGTTTTATATCAAGAGATACTTAAGTCGTGCCTGTGCTTTTATAGAAATCTACAGGAAAAGTAGCTCATCTTAGTAGTAAATGGTGAAACAGAGAATTAACTCTGAAGTGTAAATTAAAGTGCTACTTAAACCCATGAATAACCCACAGGGCGTTAGACCTAATAAAGGGAAACAGGGAACCACACGAGGCAAAGAAAAAATCTTTTGACCTCGGTGGGAATCGAACCGTCTCAGTCTAATTGAGGTGATTAGCGTTTAATTTATTATCCTTTGGTAGTTTGTCATTGTTTCATACTGAAGCTCATACTGTAATGACTGCTGCCTTTTCAAAAGTTTAAAATACTTAGCGACGTAAGCGTAAATTCCTTTTGCTTTCTCTCAGGAGAGTTTAAAACATACGATGATTTTAATTTCAGCAACTGTCTTAAATATAATCTTCAGTGGCTATCCAGTGGAAATACCCAATCACTTTCAGGTGGCTGTGGCTGATGATATTACTTTGCGTTATGGGAGACACTATGTAGGACGTCGTTTGAGTCAAATGAAAAGTTTTTGTCACTTGAGTGCTAGATGAGTTCTTGATTTTTTCTCCCTAACATTTCGAAAAAGGAATCTCGTCGTCGTTCAGTATCAATGGATGTTTATCAGTCGTTAGCTTTAAGCATTTGAGCATAATCATTCCAGCTTGTTTAGATATTTTGCTTCTTATCTCGGTGAAGTCATTTCTTTGGTTTGCTTTTCGTGTTTTCAGATCACTGTTTATCCCGTGGGCATAATGTTACCTAACATTATACCCACGTTCAAAAACACTCATTTTTCCAAGGGGAAAAGGAATGGCAAGAAAGAACAAACATATCGTTGTTTTATCATGGAAAAACCACAACCTCTCATTAGTTAAACTTGTTTTTATTGATTAACGCACAGAAACTGGCCTTGGAATACATGAGGAGTATGCCTTATTACTTTCCTTACAGAGGGCGAAATGAAGAAAATACGTTTTATTAATATATCCAACTCACTTATCAGTTTATTTGACGTTAATATACTGAACTCTGGAAACCTGTTCAGCTGATAACTCTGGCTGGAATGATTCTTCAAGAACCTCTGAACTGTACATGACTCAGCAATAAACAATGACACCGACTACTGTTTAAAAATTCCTTGTTCATATGTTTTACTTGACATTTCTCGTCACACATTGTTGATTTACAGACGTCAGACGTCATTTCAGGGTTGTTAGTTTTCAACACTTTTTTCCAATTGAGTAATATTATTAAATGCATGCTGAAAAAATACTTTGAGCGAGGGTTTGATGCATATCGATGTACAAAGCTAGTTTTAAGGACGGGCTAACAAAGACCTCCTCTTCTCGGTTGTGAAAGGCATCTTCAGTTAATAACTACAATTACAAGAGGAAAACTAGAATTGTAATAATGATATTTTGCCATTTCCCAACAGAAAACACTGGTCCTTCAAAAGCGTTTGGACTAATTTGATAGTTGGTAAAAGTAAAGCTACAACTGCTAAAAGCGTTGCTTTAAAATTGACATATGAACTCTGAAAAGGAAAAGAATGATATCAATATGATCACCTCCTGTATGTATCCATTAGTGCACCGAAGAGGTCTATATTTTCTCTCTATATTAGCTTTACCTCCTTTAACTTTCTTGCTCGTCACAAATTTTCTTATGGTCAGTATCAGCCATACTTCAAAAATCATATTGTATTACTTATCTTACTTATATTACTTGGCAATGCTCACATTGATATTGAACAAGGGGTTACGATTTTGATAATCACAGGTTACCATCAAATTTCATTTGCTTTACATTAGTGCAACTTTTAATGAAAGTGAAACATAACGACCATAAAGCAACACACAGTCACACGCTGTCCCTGATGTGATTGAAAAAAAAAAAAGAAGATTTTCAGTGGAAATCCAATACAGCGAAGTATTAATCGAGAATAACAACCAAAATATGCTTGGAAGCACCCGTGCGGAATTCTGTGCTAAAAAATTGCGTGGTGGCGATTTAAAGTTGGCTGGTTCGTCTTTTCTGTACCATCAAACCTTTGGCCTTCTTTGGACGACAATAATTTTTAACTCGTTTGGATAAACTGGCAGCCTTTCTCGAGAGAAAAATTCCCTTGTCACAAGGGAGGATCTTTGAATAGCTATGCTTGCCTCTGGCGCCATGCTAGCCAAGTGCTTAAGAAAAACACACTCTTGTTTTTACGTAATACATTTACGATTACTTCCGCAATGGATTTCACATAACTTCTGGAAGGGAAGTGGTAAAGGAGAAAAGATTGAACTGATCAATACTATCAAAGTTCATTTCAATTTTATTCGCTTTTATTGACCAACATCATTAGCTGTGCGGCACATAATTGAATTGGCGGTTATGCAAATAGTTTTCTCAGCCATGAAGCGGGAAATATTTACAAACAAAGCTACTACAGTCTAAACATGGAAAACATTTATATCCAGCTGGGCAGTGTGCTGCTTTACAAGGATCGCCGGATTCAAAACATGTACCAGGTAAACCTAGGCTGCAATGTCTACCTAAAAATAAGCAGAAAAAACAAACAAACAAACAAATAGTCAAGCAACAATTAACGAACTTTTCCTTTTTCTTTGAACACTTAAATTCTTAACTGAACCATAGATATGGTGGAAATCATTTATTTGAAAACTGAATCAGAAAATCGCGTTAAAATGTAAGAGAAGCTCGAAAAAATTTCTGTGAGTGTAAATAGAGATTCCGGCGTATCTATAACTTCCATTCTCCTCCATTTCATTGATATCGAAGAAGTAATGAACTCTGCAAATATGGTTGCTTCATACCTCTCTTTATTCTAGCTCCGAGAACCTGCGGGGAAATAAAAAAGTGTGATCAACGTGTTTTTAAGAATTTAAAACTATTTAAATCTGTTTAAGACTCTTTAAACCTCAACCACTAGTCGCGATTAAAAACCAAACTGAAACAATTGGATACAAGTATCTCAAAATTGATTTGTTCCTGACGAATCGTAACATGAATTTTATATAATGCCATTTTTGCAATCTTAACTCACTTGTGGGGCCTGAAAGCAGATGATGCACATCAAGAGAACAGCCACGTAGACCTTCATGGTTTGGAATCTTCACTGATACCGTACGACGTCTGAAAAAGGAACCTAATTGGAGAAAAGAAATTGGACACAAAGTTTAGTCTCAAGTGTACGCACATATATAGTGAAAAGAAATCCCGGTAGATTACTAAGCCACGGTCTCACTCTTGAAAAATATGGCCGAGAAAGATATGTATCAATGTACCCTACCCACCTGGGTAATGAAGTAAAATCGTAAACTGCAGAAATCTTCCCAGCCTACCTTAGGGAAGAAAAAATTTAAATGACCAACTTCGAAATTGAATTTGTCATATATATGAGTATAAAATCTTAACAGAGCAATTAAATAATGGCCATGATGCTGCAAAAATTACATGCTTAAGAATCGTTAATCGTCATTTTTTGCTCCTCACGTCTCTATTCACAATATTGATGAACCGACGTCAATCGTCCGCTTTAAAAGCAGCAGATATAAACATAACCTTTTCAGTTTGCAATGAACTATAGACAGCTTATAAATTATGTAGATTGATGAAGTTTTGAGATGAACAAATTTAAAAAGATTTCTTCATCATATCATGAACGTGTTTTCAGTGAAACTGGGTCCAATCCGCCGTGACTCACCCTTAGAGTGTATGCGTTAGGAAAAAAAAATGTCCATGACGCGGCAAAAATCATTAATGCGTTTGACACTTGTACTTCTCGACGTAACTGGCACAAAGACGCCTAATTGTAAATTTAAAGTAGAACTTCAATATTTAATATCAAAGTCAATTATCTCAGTAGGAGATACATTAAGCGTCTTCCAGTGATAGAGTTGAGATAGAAGATGTACCGCAAAGGAATTTGTTGGCACTCTCGCAGTGGTTTAGCCTATAAAAATTTCAGAGGTCGTGTTGACAAAAGCGAGAAAAAGCTATAGAGGGTCTTAATGGGGATAACCGTTAGCCGTAAAACGGCCAAAAAATTTAGCCGTTAGGCGTAAAAATTGACAAATTTTAACCGTTAGTCGTAAAAAAAGTTTACCGCAAACAATATGTCTGGTGGAAACAATGGAAAGGTGTTAACCGTTAGCCGTAAATTGGCCAAAATTTTAACCGTTAGCCGTAAAAGCCATCACCCCATTGAGACCCTCGCTATAGTGTATCCTCTGACTTCCACAAGCAGAGATAGTTTGAAATTCTCCATGGAAAGGAACATTCGCTTAAGTTAGGGCATAGATTGGAAAGTATAAGGGATTTCGTATGGATTTCAGGCTAACTAGACTTATCATGTAGTGTACATAATATCTGCAAGCTGCATGGTCGAGTGGCCAACTTGTGGGTTCTAATCCCCTACCCTACCACCCAAAGGATTTGTTTTAGATATCCTCGATTTCAATGCCTTGTGCCCTGTAAATAGCTGAGTGGTTTTCTCTCTGCGATCTGCTGTGGGATTTAAGTCAGTTTAAGTTTACTTGAAATACGTATTTCAACAACAAAAGAATCCAACTTAATTGATTCTAGGGAATTATGGGAGGAGATGAAACGGATTTGGAAATATTGAATATGTGCTGTATTAATTCATTTTAAAAATTGATCAAATCAAAACAAAAAGAAAAAAGAAAAAAAAATAAATATTATTTAGAGCATGTCACAAACAAAAAAATAAAGAGCCAGCGTTTACATGAGCTTTGTTTTATCTACGAATAGCCATTTGATCTCATGCATTAAGAGGCAACGTCTTAATAATTTTTTCAGCGTGTAATCGGCCTACAGGTTGCGATTTAACAACCAAAACATCGAACACATTCCTCGCCCGGTTCACAGTCTGATAACACACAGGGATTAAAATGACACGGTGCAAATGGAGCTGGCGTACAGAGAGCTGATCCTAGCTGGATAAGAAACGATTTGATATGACCCCCCCCCCCCCCAAGCAACACAATCAACGGTATAACGTTCGTTCACAATGTATTGAATGTACCATATATGGACACGTATGACCACAAAATCTTGACACAGCGAAAAATAATGGACATGATGCAGCAAAAATCACCAAATTGAATACAATAAACTTCTCACTAACAAGCCTCTTCTTACAAGATTGATGATCAAGTGTAGACGTCAGACGTAAGCCGCAAATGAAGACACGGCTGGGTGTTTGAAGAACGCGGACCGGATGACTGCGGATGGCGGACGCGGATGGGAAAATGCAGATAGAAAAGCGCTGATTGGAAAAAAAAAATATATATATATATATATATATATATATATATATATTATATGTTGCGATAGGGGAAAAACAGAGAGGCTATACTTTTATCCCTACAAGCCTGTTTCGTGATTCCTCACTCACCAGGGGATGAGTCATCTAATCAATAAGACAACTTTTCTGTATATATACCAAATATTCGTAGAAAAGCTGCTTACCTTGAAGCGAAGCGGGTATCTATCAGAGGCAGTTTACAACAAGATCAGACCCCGACACAAACAGCCGCCTAGAATCTACGGTTTACCGAAGATCCATAAGGCCTATGTACTGCTAAGACCTATCGTGTCGTGCGTAAACACCTTTGCATATGATTTATCTGCTTACTTAGCCAACATCTTGTCTCCTTTAACAGGAAAGTCAGAGTACATAGTTGCCAATTCAGCCCACTTCGTATCCACCGTCAGCAATGAGACGATCTTAGACAACGAGATCATGGTATCTTTCGACGTAGAATCGCTGTTTACCAACGTTCCTATCGACGCCGCTGTACAAGCCGCACTGCTGAAACTCGAGAACGACCCAAGCCTTGCAGACCGCACAACACTAACGCCTGCACAGATCGCTGACCTTTTGAAATTCGTATTGAGATCCACATACTTCCTGTATAACGGATCGATTTACGAGCAAAAAGACGGCGCCGCCATGGGGAGTCTGGTTTCCGCTGTCATTGCTAACCTCTACATGGAGAGTTTCGAAGAACAGGCGATAATTACATCATCCTACGAGCCTAGGATCTGGAAACACTACGTGGACGATACCTTTACCATCCTGGATCGCGAAAACGTAGATGACTTCTTACAGCATTTAAACAACCAGCAGTCTTCCATCCGCTTCACCATGGCGACAGAGAAAGACAACAAACTCACCTTCCTAGACACCGCAGTTTTAAGAGAATCTGACGGCCACCTCACCACCAGCGTATACAGGAAGCCCACGCACACCGAACAATACTTAGCGTATGATTCACACCACCCTCAATCAGTAAAACGCGGTATTGTTAAGTGCCTTTACGAGCGCGCCAAACGTCTCGTAACAAAACCCTCCGTCATCTTCGAGGAGAAAAAACATCTGTTATCTGTTCTGGTTTCTAATGGTTATCCTTTTTCTTTCTTGCAGAAACTTAACAAGACCGGAAAACCAAAAAACAGTGCCAACGAGTTCAAAGCTACTGCGGTTTTACCTTATGTCAAAGGTCTGTCCGAGCAGGTTCGCCGTTGCCTTCAACAACAAGCCGTACGCGCTGTTTTCAAGTCAGAGACCACGCTAAGATCTCAGTTAGTACGACCAAAGACGCTTTCGACCCGGCTAAACAAGATGGCTTAGTTTACAGGATTCCATGTGAATGCGGCAAGGTGTAAATCGGAGAGACTGGAAAACCTATGCAAGACAGAATTAAGGAGCACGATCGAGGCATTCGACTCGCCCGTACCGAGACCTCCGCCGTTTCAGAGCATGCCCACAACACCGGACACAAGCCACTCTGGAACAAAGTTAAGTTTATTGATCGTGACCCTTATTACTACACGCACAGGGTCAAAGAGGCATTTCATATAAGGCTTCACCCTAACAACATCAACAGGGATAGTGGAATAGAAATTCCAGAAGCGTGGATGCCCACGATCAAAAAACACAACAACAGGAGAGACGTGTGACAGCGGACCGCCGAGGGAGCTAATCACTGAGTGGACAGCAAGGATCGAAATGCACCGATCAGAGCTGTTGAAAAACAACTAATCACAGCAGAGCAACATGCTTTATAAGATCACGCATGACAAGTCGACCTCATCGCCTGAAGAAGACTAGCAGTATGCAGTCGAAACGTCGCGATCTACATCACACGTGACTACACGTTAGACAAACGAAAAACTTAACTTTTATTTTTAAATACCAAATAAGACTAAAGACGCTAAAGCGAAAAAGCTATCAACAATTTGTCTAATGTATAAAAAGGGTATTCAATGCAAAATAACGAGAGACACCCCTTAGCAACAAAATAAACGTTCGTGAAGTAAATATATCTTACGAGATGTTTTGGCGTGTACTAACGCAGAGTATTTTTACGAGTTGTACTGTATTTTGACGAGCCTGTGGGGCGAGTAAAAATACAAACAACGAGAAAAAATATTCCGTGATACAACACGCCAAAACATATCTTGAGAAATTTATTTTCCCACTCTGATAGTTACAAACAAAGAATTTCTAGAAAGAAACACTTTTTTCGGGAAAGTGTGACAGATTTGCGTGACGCTCGCGCGCGGTTTCCCATAGTACAAATAACCAGATTGCAATATCGCGGTATATTTGCACTCGTCTCGTGCGTTGTCTGCACAGTAATCAGCAGGAGCTACTTATGATCCCGCTCCTTGAATTGTAACAAGAAATTAATTATTTGGTGTCACAATAAAATACTCCAGTTATAGTTTCCGCGTCGAGGTCCAGTTTTTGAGGAAAACTGGTTTATATTCTGTATCTGTCAACCACGGTTAAAATCTGATTTAAGTTGACTCTGGTTCCAGTAAAACAGTAGTATTCCTGTCGCTGCTTTACTAATTTTGACTTTATTTATTAATTTTTTCATTTTTTCAAGTCATTTTTTTTTACATCCGCGTTTTTCTATCTGCATTTTAACATCCACGTTTTCTCTTCTGCCATCCGCATCCGCCACCCCAGTCATCCGGTCCGCGTTTCACAGACTGACTGTTTTTTATTGCTAATCACTGAGAAACAGCGATAAACAAAGACGTTGAATCAAGGCTTCTGCAAATACAAAAAAGTTCCAGAAAGGAGTCAGGTTTTTTAGGTCACTGAAAGACCTTTTTCTTCCCTTGATGTCTTCATTTTTATGCTGAACACCGAAACACATGCTCTCTATCCAAGACGGTATATTGGCCATGTTGGCTAAGGAATGGAAGAGAGGAACTGGAACGAAATCATTTTGGCTCTACGTTTATGTTTTCACTTTTGTATTAAAGAAAAAAGTTGGAGAACAAAGATAAAAATGGATTAATTAAGTTTTAATGATTTTTCTTGAAGCCACTCTCATGTATGGCACGCAGTGAAGGTCATCGTTTGTCGGCTTTAGACTAGCGTTAAACAATTCAAGTGCATTGTTCATTAAAAACTAGACACCTACAAGTGTTTAATCGGGTTACTTATGTGTGACACAGAGATAGTATATTTGCATAAGGACTTTGGAAATGCAAACAATCACACCTAAAAAGAGGTCCAAGAGGTTCCCTTTGGCGAGAGCTTTGATTGTCGTGCATATCTCCCAAAATTCAAGCTTGAAGAAAGTGAATGTGGCCCTTTGTTATCAGATAGAAATGGAATTTTTGAAACATATTATCTATCTGCAAAACTGTGTACCAAAATTGGCAAATTTACATTCATAAACATGCATATCCATTGCTTTTTTTCACATTTGTTGCGTGACATGGCATACCTTTTACCTTCTTCCAATGAATTGTGATTTAGTGGTATGCTAAGTTAAAGGGAATGGAAATCAAGGGTTCATTAGGTGAATTTTGGAAAGATAGTTAAATATCCTGTTTACTATGTTTGTTTTGAGGTCTCCCATATCCTTGTAAAACTAAATTCCATCTAGTATTACACATGCTAATCCTAATAATCAAAAAAACCCTGGATAAAGCGTTGGGGATACCTTAGGCTGAAAATAAAATAGAGGTGAAATAGTCAATCAACAAATGAATAGTAAAAGCTTTACTGAAACGCTAAAAATGATTATTGTAACAGCATAAACATTAACCGAGTTTAAATACTTAATGGTACAGTTTACTTATATTTGCGCAGGATTATCTTATCTTTATAAATTTCAAATAAGACGTTGATAACGAGTTCAATCATTCACTATACGTATCATTACAGAATAAACATTATCGAACTTAAATGCTTGATGGCACAGTTTACTTATATTTGTGCAGGATTATCTTATTTTTATAAATTTCAAATAAGACGTTGATAACTAGTTTAATCATTCACTATACGTATCATTACAGCATAAACATTATCGAGCTTAAATGCCTGATGGTACAGTTTATTCATATTTGTGCAGGGTTTTTTTTTATCTATATAAATTTCAATTAACATGTTGATCCAATTATTAATTATACATATCATAACAGCATAGTTGGACAGCTTTTTCAAATACATCGCAGTCATTTTGTGGAGAGTTTACCAAAGTCTTTGTTCATAAAGTTATTAAATGTTGTAAGCTTACAAACAGAAACATGCACATGGTAGCTAGCTAGTGATAGTTGAATAAACGATAGCCTGTTAAAGAAACTGTTTAACATCGTTAAGGTAAATGTACAATACAAAAATAAGAAACCAGTGCTTACTGTCACCGATATAAGCCCAAGGCTTATTGATTCTATTAACGCATTAAATGTCATCTTGAAAGATTCCAATATGGCGTCAATGTTGCTTGGAATATTTTCTCTGACAGTCTCCTCAGACTAGTCCTCAGTGAAGTCCTTTCTTACAAAACAGTATTTGTTCGTTTGTTCGAGCGTGCTCGAGTACTTATAAGTTCACTTGAGTTCATTCGAGTATTTCTGACATTTTGGGCTTTGACTTTCTTTTGAGTAATTTTGGCATTGTTATGGCATTTCTTTGTTTCGCGGAACAGCCCGTTTCGAAACTGACGCTCGACATCTTTTAGTGTGGGTCTACCGAGAATGGCGTGTACGTTTGTAAGTGCTTTGAGCGTGCCAGAAAGAAAGCAATTCTTCATGATTTTCAATCAAGCTTCGCACCACGAGAAGCAGAGAGCAAAGAGACTTACGAAGAGCAAAACAAGTCACATTTTTTCGTCAGCCACCTCGTTTTTTACGCTTGCCTCGCTTTAATGCTTGTAGAAGAATACCGCAGACCGTCAAGCAACGCACTTTCACACTTTCGACATTGTCGATAGATAGATTGATAGATAGGAAACCGAAACCTTGACTCGGCCTACCTGCTTAGCCCGAGTAACTAGTATTAGCTACCGCTAAGTGACAACGAGACTGTCAATATAGCACATAGTTTGCAGAAGACACATCAAAGATATAGAGTATGTGCCATTTTGGAACTCAAAAGTAATATTTTTATTTCAAAGTATTAACAACAACGAATAACAAATAGAAAAAAATCTGTTACACAGATCGTATCTCGAACAACAATGTCGGGGTGTTTTGCAATAATATTCAATGAATTGGAACTAAACTTATGTAAGTTAGAAATAAGGAATAAGAATAAAAATGTAAGAAAATCACATGCTTACTTTCATTGTTTCTGCAACAACAATTCGAATGTCAAAGTGTTTTGCAATAATATTGTGGACTTTTTACGTTTAATGACATAATGTTTCCATCGAGCGATTGCATTGTTGAAAAGGAAACAATGATTTGATATCATCATTTAAAGTTCCAAATGTACTAATTTCAACAATATCACTGAACACACGGTACCTATTGACATTGTAGCAAACGATTCACAGTGCTCTCTCAGCCAACACCAAACAGGTTCTCGAACTGTTTCACAAGAGCCAATGCTTCCTCTTTGTACACATGAATCGTTTACAATTCGAAAAAACTCTCTTTGATTGAAGGTATAGATGTCTTGTCGAAAAATGGCAAAGCAAAGTTAAGAAAGCAATCTACTGCACATGAAAACTTCCTTGCATGGCACAAGCAATAATTAATGAAATGTGTGTGTTCCTAGTATGTACCCCGGGAATCCCTAATATGCAAGGAATGTCCACTATTTTGTAGTTACCTGTTCTTTATCACCATCAGCCTCCAATATGTTTCCATTAACTATATGTACTGCCTTGTTAGTGATAACACGGGGGTTGAAACTTCCATTTGACGCATGAGCAAATCTTCTAAATAAATATTTCCTCTCGTATCTTGGATACGAAACATAGACATTTTGTTAAGCACATTTGAACGAATTCAGCTTTGACTCACTTTAATTACTGTTATGGGACGTGATGTTTTGCATCGAGGCCATAATAAAATTACACGTTCTTTTTGAGAAAAACATCATAGAAATCGCTGCAAAATGAGTTTTTGCACAATTTACTAATAAAGTGAGTTTTGATATTATCCAAACAATAGCAATTACCAATTTACGGTCTGAATATTGACGCGCTCTTTTCGTTTAGAGAAATGTGTTCTACGAAAGCCAAGCTTTAACCTCTAAAAAACAGTCGTGGTCTTATGGCAAAACACTAAAAAGAGGCACGCTTGCCCAGTAAATAAGTTTGACTTGAGTTTGTGTTTCAAAAGGGTGTTGGTCGACTTGACAACTGGCACCCTGGCCGCAACTGGCAACAGTGGCATGCTGGCCGATTTAAAAACGCTGGTTCAAGGATTGATCTAGCTCGACTCGACCATGGCACTCTGATTTTGTTCCCTTACCTTACGTTACATTTTCTCTGAAGCGCTCAAAATTTTTTCTGCATACACAAAATCCTCGCGCTTCGCTCGGCTGACTCGTTGGCAATCAACCATGACCTACGAGAAATCATTATATTGTTCCTTAGCTTGATACTTAATGACAAAAAAAAATTCAAACGGTGAGAACCTGAAAGTAAGCAACCTTTTTGCGCACAAACACTGCATTTCGTCTATGATGCCTTCTCGTGCATCTGGTGACCATTGCAGAAACTTAGTCAGTGTTTACGCTTAAACACACTAAATTCATTGTCATGCATGATATTCTGTGGTAATGGATCGGATCTCTGATAAAAGTGCTTATTTAGTATGCTTTGCTGCAAATTTCCCGTCAAGTTTAGCCAAGAGTTCGTGTCACTTATCTTTCTGACAGTCAGTGGAAGAAATTAGCAATGGAGTTGTAACCCTGCTCTAGGTCTTTCTTTAAGGGTTAAACTGACCGTAAAAAGAAAACAAAAATAAAAACAAAAAACGAAAAAAACCGAAAAAACAGTGACGGTTGCTCGCAAGACAACTGCAGTTTTATTTTGCTGTCTGTGTCAACAATTCAAGCGTACCTGCAGAGAAATATTTTAAAACATTATTTTGACGAATCAAAATCTTTACTGTGTCTTCGACTCTTACGGAGCTATTATTTGTACTAAAACTTGAATTTTGACTTTGTTTGTCTACGTTTCCAAACTCCGTTTCTACTGACAACCTATTTTATAAAGCGAACTTTTAACGAGAATTCAAGATAAATTAGGAAAAGCTTTTGTGTCCGTTATGGTATGAACGACTTGTAAGATTCATTCATCGGATATAAATTCAAACCAGTATTTTTCATTGACTTCATTTCTTTCAGGACGCTGGGGGGGAAAGAGGGAGGGGGGCGTCAGTAAAAGACATCGGAGATAATCAAGCTTGAACGCAACTCTAGTTTGAGTGTTTAATTTATTGAATTTGCTCCAAAGAACATACAAACGGACTTTTGTGCCACAGAATTTTCTTCACCCTGAGAATTGTGGTTAAATACGATGTTACAT